TGATGATGAGAGGGACGAAGAATCTTTCCTACTTGTATTAAGAACCAGTGTTCCCTCATTTCATGTACAAACTGATACAACCAGAACACATATTGCTGATATAGAAGTCATGGCATTTGTCTTGTGGCAGCAAACAGCAAAACTCGTATGACTGTTTAGTCGTAGAGACTATTTGTGAAGCTAGTAGGTGTTTTGTGATTACACAGATCCAGAGTACATAGTAACATCACTACCATAAGAAGTAGGTTCAAATTCTCTCTCTTCTGCTCAGTAAAAGATCACACTTATCAACCACAGTCCCTTCTGTGACCGCATGTCCTCTTTGCTGTGGGCAAGGTTCAGGGGGCTGAGCAGTCATGCCTGCCCATAATTCACAGAAATCCTGGGGATGGATATTCACACACAACCAACTTGGACTCCTGTTAGCCAAGGAGCTCACCACCGGTGCCTCCATAGCCAATGGAGGGAAAGCAGGTCTTCCAAAGAGCAAACCCAAGCAGATCCAAAATTTCATGCTCAGGATTGTTCTTCAGGAGTACCTAATTTCATGTTCAACAGAGGAAGCTGAGGGAGTCCAGCCAGTTTGCTTAGGAGACTGTGACCTCCAGCACCGCAGTTATTCCTGAATTCCTGTGTAAATTGACCTTTCTGTTGGGCCTTCACTATAGAACCCACCAGACCTTTCTGCTTGTGCCTCCTCAAACAGCTGAAGAGCACTGTGTCTCAATTGTACACAGAGATGGGTTCTGTCCATGCATAGAATAATGATGGAGTACATTACTATGGAGATTTGACCTAATTCTTCTGCAGGGCATAAAATAAACCAAAATAGAGGCAGCTCTTCTCTCTGAAATAAATAAAAGCAAACTGTCCTGCTGTGGACTTTCTATTTCATTTTAGTATTTTAATTTAGGATTTTTAGGATGAAGACCCCCCTAACTCACTTGTGAGAGAAGACAGTTAGCAGTGTACTGTTCTTACACATTAAGACCCTTTCAGTTATTCCCCTACATTTTCCTTGTAAAACCACAGGGTGGGAGAGAGGGGAAGGGAAAAATATTAGTGCTCAGATTACTGTCAAGCTCTAAAGAAAATTGGAAGAAGGTCTTGTCACACTTCATGGTTCTTGAACTCAGTGAGTAGTTTAGTCCCATCTTGCAGCTCACCTGAATCACCTGTTACTGAGCCATGTATCCATTAGTTATGTATCCACTACATTTCAAAAATGGGTTCATCGGTTTTGGGTTTAATTCATTTACTTTTTACATATGATGTCATGCACACCTGAAGCCAGATCCTCCAGGTGTCTATTATGTTATTTTGTCCGCTGCAAAGAGAACTGGATCTAGGAACCAGGCCTAAAGCAATAAGAAAATTTTTTCTGACAAAAAATAAGTCTTACTGGTGCTGGTATCTGATTAAGGCCCAAAGCAAATACAAATTCACATGAAACCAAACTTTTGGCTTGATGCAAGCAGATAGTAGGAAGGATAGGGAATTCTTTGGAAGGGGACCATGTCTATGATTCTGTGACAAGTAATTAACTCTTGGCAGTGTTGCGGTCAATGCACAGTACTAGAGTCCCAATCATCCAATTACTAGATTTTTTTTTTCAAAGCCTTTCCTCTGCCCATCATGTTTTCATTCAAGTGACTTTTTCCAACTTTGACAAATTCCTTGCTGATAAGCAAATAACTCCCCAGTGCCTTCAAATGTCTCTGTTGCTTTACAAAATTCTTGATAGCACCAAATTTTCCTCTCCTGTCATGTCGGCCAGTACTATCTTGTTGTTGCATACACACTGTGTGATAGGTTTTGCAGGAATAAGCTTTGTTCATTCTTCTGTGTAATATTGCACAGTCCAGATTTTTTACTCAGGCAATGAGATCATAGGCCTTAACCATAATATACTCGTCATAAAAGCAGTAATAAGTAAAGGTATCAACATTTACAAACCCAAGTAAGCTATTTCCTGCTGCAGTTGAATCCCAGTGCTTTGTGATTTAATGAATTAGCAGTTCACTAAGCACTATTTTTAAGTTCAGTGTGGTGCATATGATGGCACATTAAATTTCCTTTACAGTGGGATGTAATTTTATTCTGATATGCTAAGTTTTGGTATTTTAATGTAGACAATCTCTGCAGCCTGTCTCCACTTGAAAGAGCAAGAGAGACTGATGTGAGGATTCTTTGACTTTCCTAAAGATTCTGTTTGTGCTCTGTTTTTTTAAAGGGCAAAAGAGATTCTGTTATCATCTAACTCAGAGGCAGTGGCACCCCATCCTTGGGAGCCTCAGAGTCTGAATGACCTGTCACCTGTCAGTCAGTTTTCCCTAGTGTACTGGCCAGACCAGTGTGAAGTCACCAGAACAGAATTAAGCAAATTGGTAAGTTATTGTGTTATGCTTAAAATCTTGTGTATGGGCAAAGAGGAAGACCTTCTTTAATAAAACCAAGAATTTATTGTTAGTGTAAGTGAAATCTTAAGAGGTAAATAATTATTATTCCAGATCTAATTGTTGCAGGAAAAGGAAAAATAATAATGCAATTAAAATTGTTATACATAAACTTCATTCACACCTTTCTTCTACCTTCCCTTCCACTGCTCCTCTGGATCCTAAGGTTAGCAGTTTCACTGTAAATGATTTGTTCTGGCGAAGAAAAGAGATGTTTGTTGTGCATTGTCAGCCTCTGGAGTCTTTTGCTGGGAGAAATATGATAGTTATACTGATACCTTCTTCTTCACTTTAGGATCCAAATAACCCTGGGGTCACTTCCATATGTTTGCTGCACCTTTCTCTTTCTTCATCAATGTGCAGGTCCATGTTTCATCTGAATTTACCATATCCAGTGTTCTTTACATATGTTAGATATTTCCTTGTTGTCGTTGTCACTCCTAGAAGGAGGTTTGTCCAGCTGTAAGTCTGCATTTCTACATAGAACAATTCCTTGTCACTGCTGCCTGCATAAGCCTATAGTTGTATCATTCAAAGGTAAACAAAATCAAACAAATTAGCCATACATGTCAATTAGAGAAATTGCTGTCACAGAAAAAATTAGGTGAAACAAACCTGCAGGCAGATAAAGTTCAGACAGGGCAAATCTGACATGCCTTAATCTCGAGGTCTTACTGATTCAGTACAAATCTCATGTTCTAGTAACGTCAGTACTGTATTGCAGGGCTATACAGTTAAATATGAATGTCAGCTAATAACTGCTTCCATGCAGTCTGTACAGTAGTCATACTGCAAACTTATTTTGAGATAGTAAAGACTTGGGCAGTTTTTGTGCTTTATATGTACATCAAATTGCAACTTGGAAATCATAAAAAAAACATTGGAAATGCATAGAGGTAGGACTGAGATATCTATGCTCTTATTCTGTTACCTTTGAAAATAAATCCTAGCATCTTGAATGGACCGGGGTAGGACTGCTGTGAGTAGTACAGTAAGGAAAGGCCTACTGTCAGAATGAATTGGTGGTCAGATTATCTTTGACATGCCAGGCAGATGTCATGTCAGCTACAGGGAGACACTGCATTACAGACATGCAGCATCTGTGTGGTCAGCAATCAGGGACTTCACTCTGTAGTTGGAGCACCTCTATTCCTAATGGTACCAATGGTGTCTGATGTTCATCACTGTCATCTGATGGTAAACAAGCTGTACAGGGAACAGAAGTGAGTTTGCACAGCAAAAGTTTGTACATGAACAAAATAATATGTATTTTTATTTAGAGTTGTAGTGAAGATTTGTTCATAGATTCAAAAAATGAGGTTCAAAATGAGGTTTCCCTATTCATTTATGTGGAACTGGTGTAAATAGGATGAACCACTTTTCAGTGCGTCCTTTATATTATAAAGATTACAGTATAATCTTACTGCTTGTACTCCTCTGTGACTCTTTTTTTTTGATATTGGATACTCACTACCCCAGAGTCATTGTACACTACAACAGGTTTGGAGATAATACAGCCATAGAAAACTCTTAACAAAGAAGTTTTTATGTAGGAAAAGGTGGGAACAGTCTGATAAATCTTGCTGTGAGTTGTAGGTAGATAAAGGACTTGCTTTGCTTTCCTTTATGAATCTAATTCAAAGCCTGATGAAATCAATATGCTTTCCTTTGCTATTTTAAAGCACTTGGGAATAAATTATTTTCCTATAGATAGGGATGAAAATTAGTTACATAGTTACACATCTGTTTCATCATCCATAAGTTCTGCCTGTACTGTTAACTTATCTCAGAAGTCCAACTCAGCTCAAGCCATTGTTCTCAGTGAATAACAATATGAACCAGCTTAAAATGAGTTTGTTGTGAAAATGTGAGAGGAGAATGATAACAGCCATAAGAGAAAATGAAAAATATGAGAACTATGTGACTGCAACATCAACACTGAAATCTGTGTTGTAGGAATATTTTGTTATCCTATTTTCTATAGTGTTTTTGCCAAGATTTATAAACAAGACCTGACCAGATTGCATCAGTGCCTAATTACAGCCTTCTATGTCTGGCAAGAATTAATTGGACAGAGTTGAAGGGAGTTAGTTGCTTTATTCCACTGTCACTGTTTGAGTATCAGAGTTATTTATTCTTTCCTGTGTTTGCTAAGTTTATCCAGTTGCCTTGGATGAACTTGGAACTTCTGGCAGTTGTTGACTGTGGTCCTGGAATACTTCTATATTGATAAGAAAGGATAAAACAGTTTTGCAATCCTAGAGTAATTAGTTGTGGCCATAAAATTTTCAGAAGCACAAAACTGAAAGGGAGCTAGCACTCTTCTTGAGGCCAACACAGTTAGTAAAAGCTTGTAATACACCTAAAAGCACTGGTACTCGTTGACATTATGTTTAATTAGAAATTAGCTACTTCTGCAGTATGGGTATATTACCTGAGTAGGTTGCTACATTTGGTGACAAACAAAACTGGCAATTGCTGTGTGTCTAGGAAGGAAACTCTGTCCTTTGCAACTGGACATGCTAATTTATTGGAAGGCCCAAGATGTGGAGGAACACTCAGAATTCCAGCTCCCTGCCTTTTTGTAAACAAGGGCAGGGATTTCTGTTATAGTCTTTTAGTTGCTGTTCTTTAAAAAGCACAGCTTTCTGTGTTCTTTATTAGTGACTTGAACTTCATGCACAGGCAACTGGGAGTGATTCGTATTCAGCCTATCCAACTCTCCAGCAAAGCGTGTATTGTGATATTGTGGTTCTCAGGCTTCCTTAATGAAACTTTCCAACCGAGGAGCTGAAAACTGCTGCCTTAAGTATGGTCAGTTGTCCCTCCTCTCCTGAGGAATGACATTCTGCAGGCAATTACAAGCAGTTAGCAATTCTTGGGATAGAAAATATCAAGCTGCAGTAGAATATGGGTGCTTGCTTAGCACTGAATGTGTTCTATAGGTGATAATCACACGTACAAACTCAGCACCTTTCCTTAAGCACCTCCTTTTAAAGCATAGAGTGAAGAATGTTTTTAGAAGTTCAAGTTGTAATTAAAAGTCCTAATTAAGATACCAGTTGCATTATTGATGTGCTCCGTGGGAGTAGGCATCTTTTCCTGGCAGCTGCATAGACTTTGATTTATAGCATTGTAAATCAGATTTGCACCTGATTCACTGTGAGGTGCTTTTTCATGGCAGCACACACTATTTAACACTGTATCATACAGTGCTAACCAGCATCACACTGTTTGTCTGCTCTCTGCCTACCAACACTGAATTTGAGTACTAGCCAGCCCACACACTGACCTCTACACAAGCAGACACACATGGTACTACTTACAAGTAAGCAATGCACAGGAAGGGATGCTACAGCTCTTCACTATTGTCAGCTTTACCAAGTATAACAGCCTATATAAACATGGCTTGTGGTACTCAGAAGTCAATGTGAAGAAACAGCAAAAGAAATGGCTGGTGAAGGACTGGAAATTAATCAAGTATTAGAAAAACAATGTGGAGCAAGGTGGACATTGTTATTTCTCACTTTGGGTGTTCCAGTTGCCTCATGCCCGAGACAGCTGCTACTTTACCCACTATTATCCTTACTCCTACTCCAATCTGCAGGAGTATCTGGGGGCCATCTCTAAAGATCCAATGAAGTCCATATTCTGCAAGATTCACATCTTATGCCATTCACTGGCAGGAAAACACAGTGTATGTTTTAACTACCACCACCACCCTGCCCCTCCAAAAGTGACAAGGAAGGCTGTGATACTGGCAGTGAGGGTGCATCCAGGAGAAACAAAGAGTACCTGGACTTCATTCTTGGTAAGCAAAGCTCAGCTCCTGTGGGACAGTTTTATCTTGAAAGTGGTACCAATGTTGAATCCAGATGGTGTGATTATGGGAAATCACCACTGCTTTTAACAGGCCATGACCTGAACTGCAAATATAGATCTGTTGTCAGACAAATGTTACCCTTCCATCTGGTATACCCAAAACAAGATAAAAAGATAACCTCATTTTCTTTCCCTTTAGAACAGTTGATTTTCCTTTTCACTATATTTTTGTTAGTTTGATGTCTCTATGTCCCTTATTGTTTTGATATTATTTGCATCTTTGCACTGCACCCAAGCATTTCTGACTGCTTTGTTTAGATTCAGTTGCATTTCAGAGTGGGTTATTTGCAGGTTTTCCTTTAATATACTTTCTCCCTTCTGGTAATAAATTATGTCTTCAAAGCAAAAAGAGTTTTCATCAAAACATTTTCAGCATATTTCTCCCCATATCCTCCGCAAAAATCTAGTTATCAAATTTCTTATTTCTTTCATTTGCTTCTTTCCTGGCATACAACTACTTTCCAGAATGAGGTTAGGTTCAGAATGGATCCCAGATGTCCATTTGACAGCAAAGATTGCCAAATTTGCTTGTTTTGCTATAAATGGTTTTGACTTCCTATGCAGACTTCCAGTCACAAAGACATTGATACTACGGATATGAAACTAAACCTTCAGGTATTAAACTAAACCTTCAGAAAGTAAACTAAATCTCTCTAGTTTAATTTCAACAACAAATTAATACAAACAAAACTCTTGTGCAGAAACTCAGTGTCAGAATCAGTACATTTAATGTTTTTCATTAAGGTACAGCCTGTTTTAAATAAGGTTTGTGTTCCTTCACATGACTGTTTTGGCTTGTAGATCCCTCGCTTACAGGGGCTGATGCTTCAGGCTGCAGACAAAACACACATTTGAAAAGACATACGAAAAGAACACACATGTGAAAGACTTGGAGTCCATAGGACAGCATTTCCATAATGCTCTCTTGAGCTACTGTGTAAATAACAAGCAGGTAAAGATTCCCACAGGCCTTTTCTCCTGCCTCAGTTAGTCCAGCTGTGAAAAATATAGTCTGTAGGTCTATAGCAGTAATAAAGTTGATAATGGCTTTCTTTAACCAATTAACTAAATTTGCAGTGTTTCTTATTATTAGCTATGCCTGAAGGAACACAACAAGGTAGTGAAACAGCAAGCCAGGATGAACTCCAAGGTCCTGAATTCTGATGTGTTAGACTGGAATTCCAAGTACCTTAGAATTATTCAGATATGCCATGATTTATTTTATGTTCTCTTTAACTCATAAAGAGTGCCAGAGGAAAAGTTATAAATGTTACTAAAATTGGACTTCTAATAGTCACACTTCTTAATTATAACACTTCTTAAAAGATTCCTCACAAATCTTATAACCAAACTTTAATAGCCCATTCATTGGAAGCAGAGCTCTTGTATCTACGCCTAGGTGGTCTTCCTGAGGAGAAATGAAACTTCATTGATACAGTCCTTGGTCTAGTGCATCACTTAAATCAATAGGGTTTTTTTTGCAGCCTTACATTTTGCAGAGCAATCTAGGCCCAATATAAGGTGTATTATTTGGTTTTGTGGAAACCTTTTTCATTAACCACGGAAGACACTAGCATGATTCCATTTAGTCAAAGCAGTTAAGTTCAGGAGAACTGGTTGAAGAGCAAGAATCTGTACACTGACCAAACAATACACCTATTAAGTACAATCAGCAACTTCTGTGCAGACTGTGACTGGAAGATCAGATGTGCAGGTGATTTTAGAGAGGTGGGTATTGTGAGTTATGAAGAACTGTGGCCCTAAAGTGGTCATTTATTAGGGAATGGAATTTTTGTACATTTCTTTTTTGGGGAAACTTTATTACATTGGATCTATCTGATCAAACTTAAGGTGCCCAAAGAAATCAAGATCTGAACTTAAAATCTGATACTGAGCTGCAAAGAAATAAAAAGAGACATGTGCATAGATTTCGATTAGATATTAGGAAAAAATTCTTCACTATGAGTGTAATGAGTCACTGGAACAGATTGCCTGAAGAAGTTGTCACTGCTCCATCCCTGGAAGTGCTCAAGGCAGGCTAAATGGGACTTGGAGCAACCTGGTCTAGTGGAAAGTCTCCCTGCCCATGGCAGGGGAGTTGGAACTAAATGATCTTTAAGGTCTCTTCTAACCCAGACCATTCTATGATTTTATGATGGCTCTGTCATCTTTATGCATCATCAGAGAATTAGGAGATGGCTTACTTGTTGCACACCTGCTAAAACCAGATACTGAGATATGCTCTGACTTTTCCTTGTTGTTACTGTCTCTGTCCTGAATGCCATTGGGAAAGACTGACTAGAGTTTAAAAAGCTCTATTTTGAAGAACCGTAGGATCAAGTTGGTCAGAATAGTAATTAACAAATCAATAGAGCTGCAGTCAAATAAACAGTGCAGAACAGTAGTATTCATTTTCCCTGTAGCTTAACCCAGATTGTCCAGAAGGCAGTGTTTTTGTTCCAGAGAAGGTGGCTTTTCACCTGTCAGGTTCTGCAGTGCAGCTGAGTAAACAGACATGAGTTCAGGACAAGGAGGGCATCAGCTTTAAGCAGAAGTATCATGCCCATGTACTCTGATGTCAGTCATGCTTGGCAACATCCAGTTCAGAGTGTTCAGGAGTTGTGTACTCCTCTCACACATGCAGGAAAGGCATCACACTGGCACTACGTGCCCATTGCCTACATCTAAGCTTACAGACACATGTAGCCTCAGATTTAACAAAGGGATTTCACTGTAGGGCAAGAAGACATTTTATTTTCCTTAAACCTTTATTTACTTGTTTTGCTTGTTTTGCTGGAAAAAAAAGGGAGTTGTAACATGTTTTTCCTCTTTGTTTACTTCTTGTTTATTTTTCTGGTGCCTGTGATTGACATAATATTACTCAAGAGGTTTCCTGTGAATATGCAAAACAAACTCTTGTGAGTGAATGACTTTTAGAAAGCTTGTGGATGAATTTTAGCCAACAATAATAGTTTCTGTAAATTGTTGCTTCCTGTTTGTGACATAAATACTGCAAATAAACAACAGTAAAAGGGGAAACTAATACCCGGACTGTGTCCTAAGAGTGTGTCCAGTTAAAGCGTAATACATACAGTCTAAAGCACTGTAATGTTTTGGAAAACATGCAGATGGGCATGTCTGATGACTGGGCTGATGGAAAAATTTAATGATGATGTGGAGTTTTAGATCTAGTTTCAGAGATGGTAGTTTGAAACATGCTGTAGTCAGATGAGCTCTGGTGAGTGCACGTGTGGTGAGGGAAGCTGCCACAGATCCCTTTATGTGCTCTGCCCCTCCCTGGAGGCATTTGTCCTTGGAGGAGTTACATGGAAAACACCTTTGTGCAAAGTCCAACAATTCCACTCAGTCCCACTGCCATCCAGAATTTAAGCAAAGCTACTGCGTTTGTACTTCAGGAAGGTGGAGTCCAGACAGATTTTTGACTCAGCCAGACCACCTGGAGGGTAGTGATTTCTGATGGAATGGCTGTGTGGGTGGTGTCTACTTTTTATGTTTATCCACTGCTTGAAATTTCTTCCCCCATTCTGTTCAGTGCTAAAGAACCAACCAGGAATTTCCACCGCTGATGCCGTGGTATGTCCAGGACTGTATAAGTAACAGAAACACAGAAGACCACTATAGAAAGTTAGAGTATTGTTTCTCATAGAAACATAGGGATTGTTTCTCATCCATTTAGTTTAGTCTTTAAAACTGGTAGACTTGTTTGGTAATATACTTCAGGATAGGTATTAAGTAATGGACTATCATATCCCTCATACCAACAGACATTTCACGTGATGAGATGAGCCATTTTACAATCACTTTCTGTTCTCCTTTTTCTCCTTCTGCCACATTCCTTGTTGTATATTCCTTCCACTTATATCCCTCTTATGTTCAGTCCCTGCCATGACCTGTTTTAACAGAATAAAAAGAGCCCATCAAAAAGAATGAGATGGTTTTCTGCTAGGTTAATGAGTTAAATCAGATCACACAAGATTTTAATTTTTTTTTTTAGCATTAGAGCCAGTTTAAGGAATGGAGTAAAACACTAGCTAGGAGTTTATCAAATGAGTCACAATCAGTGTAAGAAGCTTCTTCCTTCTCTTCCTCTCATGCTTATGTGCATTTTCCCATGTGGATCTACTTCAGTGACTAATTTTAAGTCTATTAGATCAAAAGACTTACCAACATTTCTGTTATTGTTCTTGATGAAACTTCTTAGAGATATTTGAAAAAAGTGAATAGCAAGGAATATCACAGCTACAGTAGAATTTCTGACAGAAATTCATGCTGGAGCTGTACCTAGCCCTCAACGGCATTTTGCTGATGTTCAGCCTAGAAAACTACATGGCCTTAAGATGTAAAATAGAAGCACTGTTATTGTGGCCTAGAGAAAATTGTCATTTGGAAAGAAGATACATTGATATTTTTATGGGTAATATTCTTTTTATGTATATAAACATTATAATGCTGGCTGCTTTATTAATGCTTTCATTGGTTCAATAGGTATACCAGTGTTTCTCAAGCTTTTTGCATTTTCTGCCAATCCTTCTTTTTAGAAGCCCCAACACTGGAAAAACAGAGCAGTGGCAATTAATGATACTGAGAAAGCATAGCTGTCCAGGTTCCCAGACTAAAAATAAACAAACCATATTGAGTGGGAAGTGAGGTCCCTTGTCAATATGATATGTTCGTATCCAGGTTCATAAGTATTTGCAGAACAGAAGAGCATCAGGAATTCAATCTTGAGCAGCTTGCTTATATGTGCTCCTTCTGGCATTGTGATTAACATGTTTATTTGCAACTGCTGGGTTTTTTTTTGATTTGTAGCTATGATATTCCCTCATGAGTTAAAATGGCTACACACTATTTTCTGTGCAGAAAAAAAAAAAAAAGTCAGGAGAACATTTTCACAGCATCGCTAAGGACAGAAGTCATAAAATCAAAAATATTTGTATTTTTCATCCCAGAAGAAACATGCTGTGTTTTGTTTTGTTGGCTTTTTTCTGACCAGAGACTGATATGAGACAATTTAATTCAACCACTATAACCTGACACAAACAATTTTGTCACCAAAAGTTGCTGACTTAGTATACTCATTGCTTTTGATTGTCTTATTCAACTATGAATGAAGTATCAACATCAACAAGTCTGAGGCAGGAAAAATGGTAAAATTACATCTCCTGAATATTCAGTGTATTCAGATCTGTCAAGGAATACGTCTTGGAGCTGGAGATATACCAGCTCTTCTTCAGTCTCAAAAACAACTAACACCTCACTCCCTCAGCTGGACCTGTTTCAATTCCATTCTCATTGAACAGAATTTTTGCCAGGTCCATTAAAATAATTTCCTTTGTGTTTGCCAGTCCAGTAGAGTGCTGTGAAGTGAAGAGAAAGAGAGAAACAGGCAATAATTTTTTTCGTTAATTTTGTGATCATGACCAAGATCCAGCTCTGAAAGAGTTGTGCTGGGAATATTTGTAAAGGTGTGTTATAACCCTTCTTACCATTCAGAGTGTGTAATATGGTTTTCAGCATTAGCTGGCTGAGCAACTACCATAGGATTAAGTTTACTAAAGGGTCATTGTCAGAATATAAGATGTAATCATTTTTTTAAAACTTCTCCATTATTGCTGTTCAGCATCCTACACAACTATTTAGATGATGTGTGTCTTGTTGGAGTTGACAAACACTTAAAAATCATAGATAAAAATAATGTAGTCTAATGTTATGTTCCTACATTCATTAAAAATAATTTAATTTAGATATTTTTTATAATGCTGAAAACCTAGCAGCTTGCAAAATGAACACAAGTTGCTGAGTCTTCTGAGCTTTTGAAAATCAGGCTAAATATTGAAAGCCAAGGTTGCCCTCTGCATGTGGGGGGGGGGAAAAAAGACCTGCTCTTTACATGTTAACTCTTTTTCCTACTAGTTATTGAACTCTTACCAAGTTTCCCTTTTCCTAACCTGGTGTACACTACTTGAACAACCCATAAAGGAGCTGACTGATAATACCTTTTGGTCAATCAGTGTTTTGGGACTTGATAATAATAATAATTCATTCCTGTTTTTATTCTGCTTCACAGACTCAAGGCATTGATACTCAACAGGTATCTGACCCAGTTAAAAAAGGCAAGCATTATATGTTTGGTTAATTTTTTAAATCCAAATAAGAATTTTTTTTTCTGTAATCTCAAACCTCAGCAAAGAGTATGTTCCACAAAGATAAGTACGGAGTTCTTTGGCTGGGGTTTCACTCAGTCTCAGCATTTGGAAGAGCAAATTCCAGAGAGGTAAAAAAATATTTGCTCCTACTGGCAGTAGGGTACAAGCATTTGTAATAATTTGCAGAGCAGCACTAAAGCCAGCTGCAGCTAACCTTGTCCATGGCTGGCTGGTAAAACACATCTGCCAGGTCAGGTCAGGTCAGGTCAGGCTAAGGGAGAGTGCAGGGGCCTGGGCTGCAGCAGTCATTTTGGCACTTGAGGAGATTTGGTCTTCGCCTGCCATCAGTACTGGGACTGTGCCTGTCACACCAGCCAAGGCGCTGAAGAGATCTAGGTCTGGAGAAAAAAGACACATGAGCCACCCACAGTACAGAGGGAAAGATTAAATTAAAAGGGAGTCCCTCTCTCCAGCCTCTAAGTCTGGGCACAAATCATTACAGCTGTAATTGGCTTCTGTGGGACAGGAGGTCCAGGTAAGTAGAGTTTAGGCACAGTTTAAGTATGGTAGAGTTGAGCACATTGCAGTGTTACGATGGGTAAGGGCTTGCCTGCCAAAATGGAGACTAATAAAGAATGTTTTTTAAAATGGTTTTGCAGTCTCGCCACTTTCTTCCCCAGCTGCAGCTGTTCCTAGTTATTGTGTACCACACCCAAGGGGAAAAACGTAACAGATCACATTCTTCTAGGCTTTCCTGGAAATGACACTGCTCAGAGGAAGTTTAACAAAGAAAAAAATAAATGTACTAGCTATTAATATCTTGTTTCTGCGTTTTAGATCCAGACTAGAGTATTATCCAACATAACAATATATGGGATAAGGTGAGAAAATAGAGGTCAAAGCAGGCCAGGTGGCACAGACACTCCAAAGCAGACAGTTACTAGTTTAGAATGGCTGGATCGCTTGAAATCACAATATTGTCATAGTGCCAGTGCATAGCTCACTGCTAGCACATTTCCTTCCAGGTTCTGGTGCTCTGGCAATGAACAATGAAGGCTGTACACTCCTACAGGTGCAAGGTCCCCACTTATTGTCGATGTTGTTAACTTTCCTAAGTACCCACCTTCTGATAGCACAAAATGTTCTGTGTCTTGCTGAGCATGCACTTGTCTGCTGTTGTTTCACAGAGCAAAGCAGATTTAGCGAGACAGTTAGACTGCAGCAGAGCCTGCCCCAAACACCTTGTGAAATAATATGTAATACTTTATTTGCACTACATGATTTCAAGGACTTCTGCTTTGCACCTTACAGCTTAGACTTTGCTACCCAAGCCTGAAAATTTTAGGGTTTCATCTGATAAAAAAGAAATGTTTTTGGTGTTTGTTTTTACTTCTGTGATGGTAAAGTAACCCTCTGCTGCATCTGTGATAGTACTTCTGACTGACTCAGAGGGGATAGTGGTATAGTAAGTGTATGATATTGGCACTTACAGCATTGTGGTTCTTTGTAGTTTGAAATGCAGGAAATTACCTTTTTTTTTTTCCACATATGATTCTTAAAAAATGCTTCAGACTAAAGTAGCGGGAAGTTTACCTCTAAGGATTTTCTATTCTGTGTGGTCATATTTATGTATATCTTGCCATGAATTTCTGTGGAGATATAGTATTTTCTGGACTGACCTATGTATCCTTTAGCTCTGAGAGTCTCATTCCCGATGCTAAAGGCATTTACAAAAAGTCATCTGTGCAACAGCAGGCAGGAAATGTGTGTACCATGATGTGATCCTGTCCAGAAGAAAAAAAATTCATTCATCCAGCTTTAATCTGTTCTCACAGAAGATGAAGGGAAAATGATTAAAGTGTCTTCAAGACTGCAGAGAAGACTTTCAATATCTAAGTGGTTTCTCAGTTATTGTTCTATTCGAAATACAAAAAAGACTAGGGTTTCATTCTGTGAAGAGGGTTAGTTGGTGTAGTTACATCATGGTACTGAAAGACATAAGACACATGGTAGCAGTACATTAGCAGTGCTGGAAAACTCCCACGTGTTCAGCAGAAGCTGATATGCTGTGGCAGATACCAAAACTGTTTTAATGGAGCTTCCCATGGAGTTGAAACATTAGAGGTCCTAAGCCTGTTAACGTCTTTGTGAACAGCCCAGGGACAAGAGCCTGGAAAATCTCAACCTAATGGCAAAGAATATCTCTGACCCTGCACTATCCTTCTGCAATTAATAGAAGAGAGGCTTTAGCCATAGGTTCATTGCTTTTCATATGCATCAGCATGCCATAAAGGGATGTATGGTCTGATTCTGTGAAACGCTGGAATTACCCTTTTCAGAGGAGGGTTAAGAGAATGTCATATCACCAGAGCAATAAAACCAGGTCCTGTGCCTATGATCGAAGTTTCCACATTTTAGCACTAGAATTTGTATCTTGCTATGGCTCCCCTTTAGTAAAGAAACTAAAGCCATATACTTTTTTTAGTAAGTAGTAGCACTGTAATAGTTGATATGGATTTGTTCTTACTTCTTTTTTGGCTCAAGTCATGATTGTAGCACAAAGAGGGATTGAAAAAAGGAAGAAAGAAAAATGAAGGAGCGGTTCCCCTCAACAAACACAAGACCCGAGAAAACCAGAACAGCAAGCAAAGATGTAAATTTTGAAAAGAGAAAATCTTGCCAGGCATAAGACACACTGCAGTTCTCCCTTCTGCTAATGCCTGAGTCAAGGAACAGACAACATGCTACGAAATATCAGGGTATATTTTGGAGCCCCAGTTCTACAGCCAGTGAAGGCACATGAAAGTGTAATGTGTCTGATTTGCTTAAAGAGCTCCCAAGACTTTGGTTATGAATTGTGACTCTACCAGCAAGGGAGTAGATATCAACAGAAATCAAAATTCTTCTCGCCTTTTTTTTTTTAAATAAATAGTTTGTACACCTTGTCTGATGTGCACATGAAGCTTCTTTCACCACTACTAAACCAGCTTAGTAGTTAGTAGAGAGTCTCTCCTGAATATAAAGTATCATTTGTCTTGAACAATACATGCTGGTTTTGTGAGGCAGACTCCACTTCCAGAAAGAGCTCTGATTTTCAGGAAACAATTCCAGGAAGAAATGATCATGCAGGAATTTGGTAGAAGCTGGCTCCTGGAAAGTGCTCTCCTTTCCCACCCACAGACAACAGGATCTAGCAGCCCAAACACTCCATCCAGCCTTTCCTACCTTTCCTACCTCCAGGTAAACACATTTAGAAGCCCTGCTTGCTTTCTCCTCTCCCTTTCCATTCTTTCTCCATGTTGATGATTATTGCCCTGCTTACCCCACCCCAGCCTCATCATACTTATCCTCCCCAGCTGCTCCATCATTAGACAGACTTTGGTATCTGAAGCCTCAGGCAGTCAGGGCAAACCTATAAAACATCCCTAGTAAGGAGAATGGAGAGGCATATTGCACCCTGCCCAGCCTTCAGACACAATCATCCCTGTCCCAATGTCTGGAAGGAGAAGGCAGGGGTACTACCTGATAGAGAGGCAGCCAAAGATGTGGAAGGAAGCCTCCAGAGTTAGAAGGTCAGTTGGGACCAAGGGCAAGTCTTGAGCCAGATTTTGACTGGATCTCTCCCTGCTGGCAGCTGTGGCATTCCCAGGAGGCATTACAAGCAGCAGAGGCTGAGACCCTGCAGGGGAGGAGACAGAGGGTCCCTCAGAGAACACTGAGGAGTGCTTCTGCCACAGGTGCACAATCAGGCAACCAGCTCAGGCCAGTAAAATGACACACTCCAAGAGTAGCATTCCCAAATGGTGTATTTTAAACATTTAAACTTTTTAAACATCACCTCCTAAGGGGACAGTAGCAAGCAATTCTAAAATGTCAGAAGTCAAGCAGATGAGGCAGAAGGCTAGCTTGGCTGAGCAGGGATCTTTTCTTGGAAAAAAGGAAGGTGCATGCACCATGGAAGCAAGATCAGGTAACGTCATGTCCTAGCTTTGGCTGGTTAACTTTCTTCATAGTGGCTAGCATGGGTCTGTATTTTGGATTTGTGCTGAACACAGGATTGATAACATAGAGATGTTTTTGTTATTGCTGAGCAGGTTTAATATCAGAAAATATCATTCTTCACCCAAGTGGTTGGGCACTGAACAGGCTCCCCATGGAAGTGGTAACAACACCAAGCCTGTCTGAGTTCAAAAAGCATTTGGATAATGGTTTCAGGTACATGGTGTGATTCTTGAGATGTCCTGTGCACTTGGACTTGATCATCCTGATGGGTCCTTTTCAACTCAGCATATTCTATGATTCTATGATTCTATTTACTGCTCTGAGCAGTGCAGAGAAGGTCAGAGACAAGGAGATGTGTGAAAAGGCTAAGGCCAGGACATATGGCCATCTGGCACAATCATGAAGGCTAAGGTGCAGGAGAAATGAAGGGGAACACCCACCCCTCTAAGATGACAGTGGCTCCAGGGAGGAATGCCATGGCAGGATGGAGCAGTCCCACTGTGGCAGTCATCCTGACCACCCCTGATAACAGGACCCCAATGAGAAGAGAGAATGTTTTTGAAGGAGGTGCTTGTGCGTTCTGCCCATGGCAGTGAAACAGCATCCTCCCTTGTGGTGCTGAGATCAGCTAAGGAGTTGGTTGATCACCAGACCAAAATTATACACATTTTTCCTTCCTGAATGACAGAAAAGTGAGTGGCACGTTGACAAACTGCATTACCACTGCTCTTGGGAGCACAAACATGCCTCCTGCCAATGCATGTTACTTCACTGGAACAAAGGTTTTGCCCCAGAAGTCTCTGCTCATTCCTCAGTTTCCCAGCCAACAGCCCAAATGTTAGAGGGAGGCCATGTTCATCCCCAAGGCTTCCTTCTTTCTACTCTTCACCACTTTCAGCTCAGCAGCTACAGACTGCTGTGCTTTATTTCCTGCAAGCTTTCCACCCCAACCCCTGATTTCTCCCAAGAGAACCCCTGTCTAAGCCATCTATGATCAGAACCGCCTTGATCTAAATCCTTGTCCTTCTGCATGCTAAAATTATTGCATATACACAGGCCACACAGGAAGGCACCTCCCCACTGTCTCTATTCACTGAGTTTCTCTTAGGACTTCCTCCCATATTTCCTTTCACCTACTTTGTGTTCTTGGATGTGAGTGCCAATATTACAGGCTCACAACATGTGTAGCACATGGAGGTTTCCAGACCATGCCAAAAAATGGAGTTACTAGGTGGAACTCTGTGAACCTAGTAGGTGAAACCTAGCTTCATGGCTAGGTGTCTCACATGTATCAACCCCCAACATACAGCTCTCCTAACAGACCCACCAAAAAGACTGCTAAAAGGACAAATGGTTCTGGATCTGGCCAGGAGGACTAAAGGAAAGAGAGTTTTGCCCCTTACATCACTCAAGGTTTCAAAGCTTTCCTGTAGCAGAAGGCACCTTGCCACTTCCCCTGTGACTGCACAAGCATGGTTTCTGCAGGCGAGGGTGAGATTGAAACTGGGCGATGCTGGGTCTGGGAAGCAGAGAGTGAGTTAGAAGTCCAGCAAGGGCAATGTCAGTGCTGTGGTACTGGGATCAGTGCTGGGACAGTCAGTCACCTCTACAGAGTTGTCCAAACAAAACAAACTCATCTAAGCCCTCGTGGACACGCAAACTACTACAGTAGCGCAACACTCCCGGCAGAACTTTGGCCGGGTCAGTTACTCGTGCCGGTTAGCGCAGCCGGGAGAAGGCAGTGCAAACCTGCCCCCGACTCGCATTGTGGTGGCTGGGCTTGGCTTGTTTTCTTCTTCATATTTGAATGAGTCATATCAGGGAGGAGCACAGTGAGAAGCCCTCAAAATCGAAACAGAAAGCGGACAGGCACGTGACACAACAGGGGCTGGCTGTGCTGTCAGACATCTCAGGCTCTGCAGTCATTTCAGGACCTGTGGCAGCACACACACTCCAGCTCGGCTCCCCAGGGCACGACCTTAGCCCTCTCCAGCGTCTCAGCTCCGACCCAGTCAGATGGGCAGCCGGTAAGTATCCTCCACCGAGACCCCCGCCTTTTTAACACCAGGAGAAGAAGTGGTGTTGCAGGGTGCAAATATCTTGGGGGGAGCAGGTCCTTCTCCAGCTGTAGGACCGTTTAAGGGCAGTTCCTCCACAGTCTGTTCCATTTGCCGCTGGCTGATTTTTGTTTGCTGGCAGTCCTTAGCTTCTCAGTGGCCTTTCTTCACCTATGGTTTCTCTGCAGCTAATCCTGCCTGAGGGGAAAGAGGGTTCGGGGAAGCCCAGGGGCTGGGGGCGGGGCAAGTGTCTTGAAGAAAAAGTACCAAGTCCAAAGCTGCCTTCCTTTCCCACCACTCTTGCACGGCATTTCTACCCGCAGCAGCCAAGGAGAGGGGATGCAGGAAAGTCAAGTCTTCGTGGGGGCGGCTCTTCAGTGCAAGAGAACATGTCCATTCCCTTGTCCCTGTATATTCAGCCCCGCTGCAGTGGCAACCGGTGGCTCCACAGAGATGTGTGACCCTGCACAGAGGCCATATCCTGTGCCAGAGCTGCATGCATTCCTGCCACCTTTGCCCAGGCACTCTGTCAACAGCTTGTTGGAGAAAGCACAGCCCCAGCCTGGGAATGTGCTCACCTGCCTACCGGCAGCAGAGGAAAGGGCTGTGCAGTCTCAACAGCACAGAGGGTGCCTATGAGCCACATCTCCCTCAAAGACACCCCAGGGAACTCCTGAGCCATGCACATGGAGCCTCTCTCTGCCGGGGAGACTGAGACACAGAGCTCTCCTGTGGTGAAACCCAGTGTTTCCAGCAATGCCCGTCCAGAAAGAAGGTGGCTGAATCCAGGCTGGGGCTTGCTGTGCCATGCTTTGATTCCTCTTCCTTGCACTTTTGAGGAAGACCCACAGAGTCTCCTGTCCAAAGGCATAGGCACCTCCTTAGAGGTGGCAAGGCTGCAGATGTTTGGGAAAAACCCCAGCTGTACACTGGGTGACAGCTCTTTCCTGTTTGTTCCTTGCTTCTCAGCCAGGCTGCCACCAAAGGATGAGCTGCAGAGCTCACAAATGCCGTGCTTGCGGCTGCACTGGTGGCAGGGTACCGGGTCTCAGCCTTCACTGCCAAATGATACATCGCCTCCAGGCCAGCCATGTGTTCCCTATCCAGCTGGCTCAAGGCACCCCCTCCAGGCATGTTTCCGGCCCTGTCACAGTCACACCTAGGGACAGGGATTTACCTGCTGGGCTGGCTGGAGAGACAGCAGAAAGATAAGGGGCGAAGCTGCCTGAAATTTGGCAATGAACATCCCTGGGAAAAGAAAATATGTCCTTATAAACATGAGCCTCAAAGCAAAAAAGAGGGCAGAGATACCATGGGGTTTCCCCAGGCCCTCATAGATGCAGAGATGCACAGGGTCTCTCAGGTGGCTGTCCTCTACCCCTGCCATATAGTATCCACAAACCTGCTAGGAATTTAATTCTCTGTCCCCTCTCTAGTAAATATATGCAAGTAGGACAATTTTAATAGCTTTTATATTTTATGGATATTGGGGGAGTAAACATGAGATGATTGAACAAAAAGCCTGTATTTCTACAAGCCCACCTTCCTTAGGAAACCAGTCTAAAGAAATAAAACAGCAAAGACTGGTGGGTGGGCAAGGCCAGGAATTGGCTGGGCTGTACTGGTCCCAGCTCTGACAGAAATTAGAACAGAGTTAGAACTCTCCCCAGTTCTAACAGAAATCCCTGGGGAGATGGCCAGCTAACCAAGAGTCCCTTCCAAGTGCAGCTTGTTCTGAGGGCTGTGAGGCAGGACAGCAGGGAGAAGAGTGGGTGGTGTGAGCCCTTGTGGAACAGCGAGAGGAAAAGCAGCAATGCCTGGCTGCAGGAGACCCTGTGTAAGATAAACAAATCAGGGGGCAATATCAGGGGCAAGACAAACCGTGGTGATATTACATGTGCCTGAGGTCTCATTCTGCAACACACTCTGTGCCCAACTTCCTGGTTGCTTGTGTCTTCGTTGTAGATTCGGAACAATGGGCAACCTCCATGTGACCTTCCAGTCTCTCCAGAAGCCCGTTGTGAAGAAGACCTCCAAGGGAAGCTACAAGAAGTGAGGGAAAAGTGATCAGGGGAAGTGGACAGGTTGGTGTCTGATGCTGTGACCCCCTTCCATGCTGTGTGTGTGCTGCTCCTGGCCATGACTGTGTGAAGAAGGAGAAGTTTGGGACAGAGAATCTTTCTCTCGGTGCTCATTGCAAAGAGGTGCCCACTTCCAAGTATCCAGGGAGAGACAGGGTGTGGGAGGGGGATGCTGAAGGGGTCTCTAGTCACCAGCACCACAGCTGGGCACTGGGTACAAATTTAGTGGAGTCTCTCCTGGCACTCTAAAAACTGAGAGGCTGGGCTGTACCAAATCCACAAGCAGCTTTGGGCAATGACCTAGAGAACATCCAGGACATCAGGATGACATACCACTAGGCAATAGGCAATGAAGGGGGGACAGTGGGACCAACATGAACTTTTTGAAGGAAAGTGGTGAATGATTCTTAGAAGATAATGCTTGTCAAAGGGGGGAAGAGTTATTTGCAAAGCCTCGAGCCAGAGGCTGAGCTTGAAGCCAAGGTCTCCAAGCTCTTTGTGTCTCTTTGCAGATCTGGGTGGTCTGTGCTGTGATGCCATGAGGATCTGCAGCCAGTGATACCCCTTCCTGATGCCTCTTTCCTATTTTTCAGTGTGAAGCAGAAACCTCCAAGAGGGCACTGAGGACAGTTCACATTTCTGGGAAAGGACCAGTCTCAGGTTTGCCAAGCAGTCTGAGAGAGGAGCACAGAGGATGGCAATCACAGGTCTGTCTCAGTAGCACCCATGTCCCTGGGCCTCAGGGGAGGGTGAGTGGCTGCAGGTCGATCCAGGGTGCCTCTCTGAGCTGGGCACCTGCCTGTCTGACTAGGGCATTGGTTCCAGGCAACCAGGACAGAGGAGCACCATGTTTGCCAGCCTCAGTGGTGGGAGCAGAGCTGCAGGCAATCAGTCCTGGTATGCTCAGAAATCTATGGGCATGTGGAGCTCAGGTGCTGGAAAAGGGTGGCATCGATGGCACTGACTGTCCCAGAGCTACAGGACAGGGGCAGGGAGGCAAGGGGAGCCCTGCGGTTCAGATCCTGTCATACCTGCGTTTTACTCAGTAGTCCAAAGATCACAAGGGATGTCCTTGTCTGATCAAGACTGAAAGAAAAGCATTTTCCCAGAATAGCTCTTAACTCCTCCTCCTTTTACTCAGTGGTCCAAAGATCACAAGGCTTGTTGTTGTTTGACCAAAACTGAAAGAAAAGCATTTTCCCCAGAATAGCTGTAAAGCTCCTTCTTATCAGACAGCAGTTTTGCTCTCCTGCCGTCACTGCTGTTTGCTGACAAGTGCCTCTCTTTTTCAACATGAGACCATGGTGCAAGGGGCGTGTGGGGAGCTGAGTCATACCATCCTCCCAGTGCTGGTCCACACATGGGACATCATTAAGCCACCTTTGCTGTGACAGAAAATGCACCAAATGTAACCCCCTCGACCCAGTAACACATGCAGCATAGTCCTAGGCAGGACTGAGATGCTTCAGTTCTATTTGCAAGGGGAGTCCTAGACTCCAGCAACACAGGTTCAGAGCACATCTTGGGAAGAGTGCCATAATGGACAACAACTGAGGGGTTCCCCCATTCATGTTTTGCAGTAGGCATCCCCACAGCAGGCTTTTCCATGGCACCAAGAAAGCATACAGGCACCAGGATGGGTCTGCTGCAAGAGAGGTGTACAGGGTACCCGCTCTATGTGCTGAGTCTCCTCGAGGCTGCTGGGACCTTGACCTTGATGGTCTATGCACTGCTGTGTGAAGCTGGAAACCTGGTTGACCTCCCTGACAAACGCATTGGCTTTTACAACTTCTGCCTGTGGAATGAGACAGCCGGGGAGCTGCACTGCCTGGACTACAAGCATCTGCAGGTGATGGGCATCAGCCTACCAGAAATAGCGCTAGCCAGGGTTTGCGTCTATACCTGCCTGGTCTTCAGCATCTTCTACCCCCTTTTTGTTGTAAACGTGCAGCGCACAGAGCAGAGAGAGGGGTGGAAGATAATCCTCATCATACTCTTTATCCAGATGATAATCCTGTCTGGGGGCCTGGGCATGTTTCTTTTACAAACCTCACAGTGGATTCATCTCTCTGATTTCACTGAGGGCTTCCTGGCACTGCTTGGGACTCAGGCTCTGCTACTGCTTCAGATTCTCACTGCCACTATGTACCTCAGCTGGGTCAAGCACACAGACAAGTGTCAAAGGCCTTTTACAGAGAAGGTCCTGCCCACTGAGATTTGACAGTGAAGAAGATGCAAAAGCTATCATTAGCCTGATTTAAATTAGTAATCCCAATGCAGCTTTAGTCACTGGCAAGAATTTTATCCTTAATCCAAAGGCTCATGTCCAGCCATGCTCTGGCATATTGCTGTGTGCAACACTCCTCTGTCGAGTTGGCAGCAGACACCAATAGCCACAGTGCATGACAGAAGCTTCCCAGGAACAACAGCGTGTAACACCCCTCAGTATGGGGCACAGCATCAGAGCAACAGCACTTCTGGCCCTGACCCAAAGGGCAGTGATCGGAACCAGCAGACAGTGGACACAGTCCTCTGTCCTAAGATAATATCTAGTTTAAGCACAGCCAAACAGGGAAGGAACAGGCATCCTTTCTTGGAGCTGCCCAGAGAATATGCTCCTTCTCCACCTCCTGGACTAACCAGGGATGCCTTCAAGGTTAATTGTGACTTGAGTAGCTGTGGCTTCATGTTGCCATCACAGCAGTAGCAGCCTCAAAGGTGCACTGAAAATACTCTCTTCAGCAGGAGCACCTGTACTTCACCAGCTCTAATAGTATCTGGAGTGACTGCCTTAGTTCATCCAACCCTAGCAGCAGCAGAGCACCTGGAGAGGCAGCCTAACAACTTGATGAACAGAGCTCCAGTGAAGAGGGTTTCCATGAGGAAGTAGAGGATTTTGGTGCAGAGCCCCAGGTTTGTCCCCCATTGATATTATGGGGTTGAGCCCAGCACTCCAGCAACCTTTGAGACTCCAGAAGAAGTGGTTCTGTGTGATGGCAGCTCACCAAAAGCCAGCTCAGGACACACACCACACAAGGGTGTGCTCAGGGAGCAGGGCTAGGGCTGCCAAAAGGCTGGAGTGCAGTGCCCCAGCTAGGCCATCATAGCCAGAGCACTGGATGGAGTCTCCATGCCATGTCTGTAAACCTTGCACAAAGAAACACCTTTGCCGCCACCCCCTTTGGGGACATGAGGGTACATTTTCTCTCCTGTTTCAGTCTTGGTGGGGATGTGGCTGGTGATGGTAGTTTGACTGATTCCTTTTTTCAATAAAGGCTCTCGCACCTGGCCTCATTGGTTTGTTCATCACCCTTTTGGATTGGGAAGAGGATAGTGAGGGGTATTCATCCTTTCCTAGACCCTCATGCACACTGCCAGGGGTCAGCCCCCTCAGGACAGTCCTGGCCTTGCCAATCTGCTCCCACTCATGTCTTCTTCAGCCGTGGGAGGACTGACGGAGTCTGGAAGCAAATTCGGCATTGGGTCCAATGTAGACAGCCTGCCAAGCCCCACTGCAGCTGTCACAGAGGGACCACAAGGAAGCCCCCAAGGCTGAACCATGACTATGCAGCTCTGCAGGGCCAGCAAAGGCCTTCCAAGTCAGCAACTCCCTGCTCCCTTCCAGTCCCAACATTGACCCACCAAAAGAACACTCACAGAAACTAGAATGTCTTCTTTAATCTGTCGATGCTCTGAAATGCCACACAGAAATGAACACATTCTAATCTGGAGCCATATCCCACTGAACCCAGCACAGACCGGGAGAAGTGAGTGCCTCATTCCTTTCCCCTCCCTGGCCTTCATGGGTATCCTATCAGCTCCATAGGCCACCAGCACAGCAGATACACAGCCCGCTCCAGGCCCTCCTCCCACTGTCCTCAGCCACATGGGAAGGGACACTTGCCTCACTGTCCCCTCTACTCCTGGGGAGTCACAGAGGAGATGTTAGCTGAAAAAGATCTCCCTGACATATTTCAGAACGTCGTCTTCAGAGTTCTCCCCGCCTGTGCTCTCTGTGTCGGCACCAGCACCAGCACCAGGAGGAGGGCAGCACCGGACTGTGGTCGCTGCCTTCCCCCGCGTTGGCCTTGCTCCCAGAAGCCTCGTTTAGTGTTGGCTGGAGTTCTTGTTCCTCTCTGCTCCCAGACCGGGCCTTCACTTCACTTTCCTCGCACTGTAGATTCTGACCAAAGGGAAAACAAACAAAGCCGGCCGTGCGTGACTTCACCCCGGGAGCACCCCAAGGAATAGAGGATGCAGCCCACCATCCCCGCGGGACAACAGGCCCCAGGTCCGCGGTGGAGCCTGGTTCTGCCCTGCAGCGCCCAGCAAGGGCTGCACTGCTGGGATGGAGAGGAGGGGACCCGGAAAACTGTGCGGCAACCAGAAAGGCCCCCCGACCCGTCCCCGGGAGAGGGGCCGCCCGCCCGCGCTCCCCTACGGCCAGGGCCAAGTCCCGGAGGTCCCGGCTCACCTCGGCCAGGACCGCCAAGGCCACCTCCACCAGCTCCGCCTCGTTCATACAATACACCGCCGCCGCCCTGGGCCGCGCACAGGGGGGCGCTCAGCGCGGGCAGCGCCCGGGCTCGCCCCCGCCCGCCGGCCCCGCCGCTGCCCCGCCCCGGCGGCGCTACCTGCGCCCTGCCGCCGCCCGCCGCCGCCCGGCCCGGGGGGGCGAGGACACCGCCGCCCGCTCCGCCCCCGCCGCCCCCATCCAGGCCGGGAGCTGCCGCCGCCGCCCGCCCGCCGCCATCCTCCGCGACGGAAGACCGCGGGAAGGGCGGTGCCGCGGGAGAGCTTCCGCCCGTCCCTCCGACCCTGCTTCCTCGCTCCCCCGGGAGCGCGGCGGAGCTGGAAGGGCGGCCCCAAGCCGCTGTACAGCCCAAGTCACGACAGAGCCCCGTGCTTGGTCAGGCGGGGCGGGAGGCGACGTAGGCGGGCAAGCAGTAAGGTCACACGTCTCCCAGTATTCCAAGGAGGAGCAAGGCGGGCTTTGGGCCAGCTGCGGAGCAAACGGCACGTTTGGAACGACACTTGCCAGCCACTCGGCCCCCGGCGCTCGCTGCTGCCGGGGCGCCCTCTGCAGGCTGTGGCTCGCAGTGCTGCCCCTGCGGCGCGTCTGGGCAGGAGCCTGCTCAAAGGATTGAGTAAAAACCCCCTTGGGAGTAAAGCATATTTGAGGATTGTTCTAGCAAAACAAGATGTTCATTCCTTCAGGCTTCTGGCACAGTATCCGTGTTGTGCTAATGCATCATTTTGCATAGCAGCCTTGGTCTGGAACATACCTTTTATTTCACTAGTAGTTTGCTTCATAAGTATGACTAAAAAAAACCCCAAACTTTAAAGTAGTTTCCCTCCAGAATCCCAACTGAGGTAGAAACACGATACTGTAGATGTCAGTCTGCAAGGGGACTTGAGGGGGTTTTCAGATGAGACTGTAGTCAGCAAGAGCAAGTTACTCAATGGACAACAGGTACCCATAACATGAACATGCCTGTAGTGAGGATTTCAGTACCCAGCAGTGTTACCCTTTAGCAGCTGTTTGTGAATACAGCTACCCATATGGCTCATGAATGGCTGTTTGTTTTCCAGTAGTGTATGCTCTGCCAAGGAACAACAGTACCATAAACTCCCAATACAGGCCAAGGACATAAAGCAGCAAAAAGTTCTGTGGCATCGTGTAAGCAGATGAAATATGTCTGCTTAGTCCACTCAAAGACTATGAAGTGCCTTAGCACAGCACTTTCCCTGATGCTGGAGGGTGCAGGGGGAGAGACAGCTCCAGTACCAGAGAGCACTATACAGGGCCAGACTGGTTCTGGCTTTCCCTCCTCCTACCACCATCAAGTAGCTGCTAGGCATTACTCAGTTTCTCAACTCCAGCACAAGCATTTCAAAGTCTGAGTAAGGATCTTTGCTGTAGTTGGTAGCAGATACCTATGACAAGGTACATCCAAACAAAGGCAATTATTTTTGTTCATGGATGTCTGGTTCCCCCCTGGTGTGCAGGTGTCAGTGCCAGAAGCACCTAGTGAAAAAGACACAAGGGTCTTTTCTCCATGCAGGAGACTCTTGGACATCACTTTCTCAGCCACCCTCCATGTTTTGCAGCAACAGCTGAACGAAACACAGAGCTCAAGTGCAAGGGAATACTTTTTATGGAAAAAAAAACCAAACAAAACCCAAATTAACAAAATCATAACAACAAATGTTATATAGAAAGAATATTCTGTTTTCGTGTCAGCCTTTCCAGTTTGAGTCACCTTATCAACATGCACTGTGCTGCCTCATGCTTGCCTCCTCCAGCCTTACCTTCTTCTGCAGAACCCCTGACATGACTCCAACAGCCTTCCAGCCATGTGCTACTCAAGACTCCCTAACAGAGGGAAGCCCAGCTGCCATAATGGGTCAGTGGAGACTTATTTTTCAGTGCTGCCACTGATCCAGTCCCATACTGGCATTCTATTGCACAGTGGTTTGGCAAATGTATTTGTCAAGAGGCAAAAGCTACAATGAGAAGAGGGACTTTGCTTTGCCTTCTCTCCCATGCACTTTGTTCCTGTAGAGTTAACACTGTTTTTTCCAAGTCTGTAGTTCTTTCCCTTCAGAACTGTCCAGGTTAAGACTTTTGAGCCAGTAAAGTTGTTAATTTAATCTTCCCATCCATAGAGGCAGTGAGGCAGGTCCCGCAGTCCATGGCTGTACTCCAGTCCACTGTGACAACAGGAGCTCGGTGTCCTCCCAGAGAAAGGCAGCTTTCCAGAACCTTTTCTTCACCATTTAACTAAAAGAAGGAAAGCGTAAGATTTTAAGGAGGTAAGTTTCTGGGGACAATGCACCCAACAAGAGAAGCCAAAGCCTGCTACAGACTCCATATCTGACCTCATGCACAATTAAGCAGAAAACCAGAGAGATACTGAGATGTGTGTAGCGCATATGAGAAAGGAAGTTTCCACAACAGAAGCACATGTTCTCAAGCAGCTCAACTTCTGATGTGAACTGACCTGCAGTAATTGAACAAGGCAGGCTAAGAGCACACACTGATGAGAAACACATAAGCCTAAGCTAAAGCTCATGTTAGTTCATGTGCTGTGAGTGCCCCAGATGCAAAGTAAAAATTCCACCTAATCTGCTTTGCAATGGCTTATACTCAAGAGAAGGCAACGGGCATGCGATCAGTAACCATTTGTAACTGAGGTACAGAAATTTGTGAACTTGGAACCATTCAGCCTTACGCTTCAATTAATTTCAGTACACAGTAAGGGGAGAATCAAGATGGGTCTAACTCAGCATCAACAAGCACACAAGGCAGATTAAAGATGAGCATCAGTCACAATCACACATTTTGCACTGAACTGGCATGCATCCATACATTAAAAAAAATAATTAAAACTTTGTCCTAGGCACTTGGACACTAAGAAAAATTGCCACAGCTAAACTTTAGGAAGAAGGAGCACACATACTCCAGCTACATACAGAGGATCCAAACACTTGCTAAACACCACACTGCTAAAATGCACACTGTGTAAAACTGAGCAATAACTATCACAGAGCAAGGATGGGTAGGTTCTGCTTGAGAAATTCTAGTGTCTGCTGCTGCACCCTTGTAATTAACAAAAACCTGTATGGATGTGTAAGGGTACCCCCATCACTTCTCAGACTTACCTTAAAAATTACTCCACCGGTAGAAGAACATGTCAACATATAATTGCCCTCAGAGTCAAAAGCAAAAAGGCGTCCTCGTGGGAACTGAACTTGCTTGTAGCCACTGTACCCGGACAGAACAAACGGACCCGTAGCTTCACTAGGAAGGTCATACTCAGACACCTTCAAGCCACTTTTGTGAATATTCCACTGAATAAACTAGAATGAGGAAAAGAGATGACAAAAGCCTATAGTGAAATTAACTAGGATCCAAGTAAGAGTGGCCATTTGTTGTTTTTAAGCCAAGTGGCTATTCCTCACAAACAGAAGATGGCATTTTGACGTCTATATCTAAGTGGCTATATTAATAAAACACAGGCTGCAAAAGCGGTAAGAGTCCAGGCAAACCTATACACTATCTTCCATGAGCACTGCTGCCTATCTGTCCTTCCCCACTGCATGCAGTATCCTGGTGAGAATTCACTTAACTCTCCTCATCCAAGGCTCCACACCTTCAGGCAGGTGGTTCCCTCCCTAAGCCACACCTCTACTGTTGAATTTCTGCAGAACTGCAGAAATTGAAGCGTTTATTATAAGCAACAGAGAGCTGCTGACAAGGAGATTTATGCAAAGTGGT